GTATGGGCAGGCGGAAGCTGACGAGCACATTGTAAGTTTCTTCATCGCTAGGCATTCGTTGATCCGGGGTCGCAGGAGACGTGCTCCATGGTCATCGCGAGGGATTTGAGGCAGTACGAGGACGAGATTCTCGATGTAAGTCTGCGGAGAGTGATGCGCCGGTCATTTTGGCCTGAGCCTTGTGTTGCAGGTTTTGATCCAGTGTGCCGAGGAGCTTCCACACAAGCTGCCCTTTTATGGCGCTGTGGTAAGCTTAAAACCGAGAATCTAGTGGAGAGCTCATCTGTTTTCTTTCGTGAAGGTTGGTCTCACGAACATAGAGGAGGCAAATTTTGTTTCTCGAATCGTTGAGAGAGTTCACAGTCGGCTCCAGGTAAATTCTTGCTTCTTCATTTTCTTGAGGAATTCTCAGCTCGTTCCTGTCAGGATGCACTCAATACCGAGGATTGTAACAGATTGAGAATACTTTTACGGTTCCTGGCGGTGTTGGTAAGGTCGATATATGTTTTTCTTCGCTAGTTTCTCAGACGTTATGGTTTTTTTTTTCTCTTTTAGATGTGCAATAACGTCATCTCGTCCACCTCCCTCGTTGAAGTGTTTGAAACGCTCCTGTCTTCAGCCGCAACTACTGTTGATGAAGAAGTTGGAAACCCGGCCTGGCAGCCGCGAGCTGACTTCTACGTTTCGTGTATCCTGTCATCGCTTCCTTGGTGTGGATTCGAGCTGCAAGAGGTAATGTTGTGTCCTCATACCGGCATCATGGTTAAGAAGATGGTTTTTCTCTGTTGTAGCGAGCTCCGGAGGAGCTTGAGCGGGTTATGGCTGCTGTAGAGGCATATTTTAGCCTTAGAATGCAGAGACCGGATTCCTTACTCACTCCTTTCTACGTGGATTCTAGTGGAACTTCTCCAATCACGGGTCAAGTACTGTTCGAAAAGTCTTTCGTCTGCGCGCACTAAAGCTGTTTTCATACAGGACTACGTACAGGAGTTTTGGTCCAGGACACAACAATTGCAACAAGCTGGATGGAAAGCTGACAGTGGTCTGTTCCTTAAAAAATAATTGGACCTTCTTAATCGTTTATGCTTTTGCCAGTTCCGAGGCCATATGCTTCTTTCGAATCTCGACTAGTAACGTCTCAGACCCTTCACCAGCTGAAGGCTCTAGCTTGCCCAGCTATACCAAAACCATATACTGGTCCAAAGGATTTGGCTTTTGGGAGGCAAACTCATGAAGCGGAAACCAAATACCCTCAAAGAACCGGTCGTTTGCGGGTTTTTCCTCCAGAAAATTCAGAGAAGGTACTTGAAATAACTCTTCTCTTTCCTCGTACTGATTGTTGTTTTTCTAGGATATGGCCCCTATCGATTGCTTCATTGTGGAAGAGTATTTGCTGGATATAATGTTGTACTTGAATGGGAGGTACGTGGAAGCTACCATTCGAATCTCTGTAATTACCGGATCGTCTTGTTTAGTCGCAAAGAATGCGCAGCTTTCATGGTAGGGCTGCCCGTGCCATTTCGTTACGACTACCTTATGGCTGAAGTTGTTTTCGGACAGGTAAGAAGTTTATTCGCGTCTACAAATCTGATATTTGTTTCTCCGCCAGATGCTTTTACTTCCCAAGCCTCCTTTTAAGCTGATTTATTACACTATAGTCATTATTGATCTCTGCAAGGTTAGCTTTGTTCCAATCCCCCCCTGTTATCAAGCTTTCTTTTCTTACTTTTTTTTTTTTCTATCTTGCAGGCTTTACCTGGTTCTTTTCCGGGCTTGCTTGCTGCGGTCGTACGAAATCTGTTCAGCAGAATTAGTGAGCTAGATGTTGAATGCAGATCTCGTCTCAGCACATGGCTTTCTCATCACATGTACAGTCCTATATTTTGATTTTGCTTCCATGGTTTTAACAGGCTGCTCGCAGGTCTAATTTTCAATTTATCTGGCCATGGAGCGATTTTGCTCACGTTGCTGAGCAACCGGCATGGTCACCTCAACGAGTCTTTGTTCAGGAGACGTTGGAGAAGGAAGTTCGCTTGTCATATTGGGAAAGAGTGAAACAGGCAAGGAATTTGACGATGCTTTGGAGCTTTTCTCACCTGTCAAATCTGGATGGCAGAGTTTGGACGATTCTCCAAAGCTTTGTGACTTACTTCCTCCAAAAAACACTCCAGAGTTCAGATTTAGTCGGGACAACCAAGTAGAAGGTTTGGAGACAGAGACGGGGTTTGCTTCTGAGTTACTGGCACAGATCAAAACAAAGAAGGGAATGAAAGACATAGAGTCGTGGTTTGAAAGCAAGATTGTTCCTGCTGCTGGTCAAAAAGTTGCAATCGAGATCCTGCTTCAAACACTTCTCAACTTGGGGTCAAAAAGTTTCACACACATGGTCACTGTGCTCGAGAGATATGGTCAACTCATTGCTACGCTTGCACCAGATGAGACGTTACAAGTACATGTGATCGACGAGGTTGCCAGGTTCTGGCAGAATTCATCTCAAATGATCGCGATTGTGGTGGACCGCATGATGGGCTACAGGTTGGTATCCAATCTGGCAGTTATCAGGTGGTCCTTTAAGGACGAAAACGTTCAAACTTTTCACACTTCTGGCCGGGTCTGGGAGGTAGGCGTTTTTTGACGAAGGACATTGGACTATGATTAACAGTTTTTCCTGTGTTTCAGCTTCTGGGAAATGCAATCAATAAGGCAGGCAATCGCACCGCAGACCTTCAAAGGGATGTGGTAAACGCCAAAAGAGCACTAGACGAAGCTGATGGAGCAGTTAGCAAAGCCGAAAGAAACCGATCGAACGTTCAAGAGCTCATTGATTCGGCCGAGACTGACGATGCACGGAAACAAGCTACGTCTAAGATGGAGTGGGTCAAAACGACGGTTATAAAAGCAAGAGGTCGACAAACTGCTGCTCAGGATCTACTTGAAACGAAGGAGGCTTTACTCTCGGGAGCTCTTAGGGAGCAAGACGTATGACCTTTAGTTTTCCTTTTTAAAAACGTTCGCTAACATACCGAGTTTAAATGCAGACGCTTGTGTGTTTGGTGTTCCAGAACCTTGTCTCAACTATATCTTCCAAGCATTCGAAAAGTGATGCTGATGGTGCTGATACTGCGGAGCCGGAAGCTATGGATGTCGACGCTGATCCTTCTGCAGCTGCAACAGAAGGCAATAACAACGAGAACAACGAAAACCAGAATGAAAGGTACAAAAAATCGGTTTGAATTCTTCCTTAACGCTAGAATCAATCTACCAGTGTGGCAAGCAAGGGGGAAGATCATCCGAACGAGGAGCTCAAGCACTGGCAAAGATGCACGATGGGACACCTTGAGGCATTTTGTCGCCAGTACGCCGCAGAGGTAGGCTACTAGAACTTGGTCTTTGCCTTTCTAAACGGTTCACTCGACAGGTCTGGCAGATGATCGAGAAACTCGATCAAGAAGTGTTCACGGAAAATGCAAACCAGGAAGTCATCAAAGTTGTCTACTCTGCCATTAAGCGCCCAAGCTTGGACAAGAACTAAGAGGCAAGTATTTCAAACTCACACTTACGTAAGAGCTATAGACCGCGGCAGCCAAGGATCACGTTGATCCTGTATTTTCCCTCTAAAAAATGGTAAAACCCGGTTAAAGGTTAAATTTTGCTTACTACATAAGCGAGCTATGGCGATGACAGCGTGTTCTTCGGATCCCCAAGGTATGTGTTTGTTCCTATCGCTCGCGCTATTTCACATTTTTACTGCAGTGGCGCTGGATTTCGCGAGGGTGGCTGTGAAGAGTATCGTTGCCGGAGGAAAAGGGGAGAATTTGGCTCCGAGCTCCAAAGGGTTTGCCGCGGCTGCCAGACGCCTCAACACCAACGAGGAAGACGTCCGCCACACTGTCTCGCTATTGTCTCGAGCTCTTGCCCGTGCTGCCAAGCTCAACGTTCCCGCGGATCGCATGGTGGATTTCCTCGCTAGATTGGGTTACCAGGATCAAGTAAGCGAGACAATAGCCAGCTTCTACAGCGAGCAGCTCCCATCGATTCGATCGGTGGTTTCTTTCCCGCTCGTCACAGCTCCGATATACAAGTCTCTCGAGTGGAGGCTCGATGTGGAGGTACGATTATTTGTTTTCTGTCTGTCTTGGAAGAAGAAGCTGAAGAACAAAGTTTTTCAGGTTGCGAGCCGGAGATCACACAGCCCAGCCCGACCATCGTTCCTGCTCAAGCTCACAACCTCTAGTCCCAGCTTTTTGCGAGGAGTGGATCATCCATCACCGCCCGCGAGAAAAGTTCACTACTTGCAAGCCGACTACAAGACGCTGCGAGAGATTTGTGCGCAGCTCGAGCAAGCACTGAGCGAGAGCAAGTCGTCGCAAACCCGGCGGATTCTTAGCCAAATCAAAGAGTAGTCTAGTTTCAAAGCTCTTCCCCAAGTTTGCTTGTTTAGTGGGATTCACTTGGAAAAACGAAATCGTTGACTCCATTGACTATCATTGACTGTCAAGCTGGAGGAACTTAAAGGCCATGAAAGTGTTTTTTTATTGCATTTAGGGTTTGTAAGTATAGGTCGGGTATGGCGCGGGAGAAGAAGAAGCGGAGCAAGCTGCGGCATTCGGACGATGAGGAGGAGGCGCGGCGTAGCAAATCCAAACACCGGAAGCGAGGTAGACATTGCGATCCATCCAGCGACGAGGATGCCAGCAGCAGTGGCTATAGCAGCAGCAGTGAGGACGAGAGAAGGAGAAGGAAGCGCAAGGAGAGGAAGAAGGAGAAGAAGAGGAAGGAGAGGAAGAGGAAGGATAATTTAGAGAGCAAGAGCAGGAGTCTGGAAGTAAATGGCGGTGATGAAGAACTGGTGGCGCCTGAGATTGTGGCAAACGAAATTCTCCTCGAGTTTCCAGCACTCTCCGGCGAGCTCAAGCAGGTACAGCATTCTTCTCCTATCTAGCAAAGCTTCGATCAATCCTAATTTCGCCTCTTCTTTCTTTTGGCTCAGCTTCTCCATATGGTTGATAGTGGCCAAGGAGTCGATGTTAGTGGCATCCCGGACGAGAAACTTAGAGAGCTTCTTTTCAAGCTGTTCCAAGCGCTGAAACTTTCGAAGGTAGATCGAGTTTACTTACTGCCTGAAGGGTCGAATCCCACGCTCTCGACGTTGGCAGAAGTTTTGAAAGGCGTGCCTGATGCTGCTCCAAAAGAAGAAGAGGAAGCGATCGAAAGAAAAGAGTCTCATGGGATTGGACCCGCGGAACGTCCTCCGGCTCCCAGGTAGTCGTGTTTAGTTTGCAAAACGCTCGTTTTTTTTATCTTTCTATCTCTTGCAGGGTGATAGGTCCGACTATGCCGACTCCAGATATGTTGGCGGCAGCAGCAAGAGTAACAGAGGCAGAGGATGCTTTGAGGTGACTTTCTGAAAAGCTATTTCGATATAGTATAAGTTTGTATTTCAGAAAAGCGGAAGAAGAACTGGACCAAGATCCTTTTGTTGGTCCTCCTCCGCCCGCAATTGTTGCCGAGGCAGAATCTGTAAATGAAGCTGAGCGATTTGAAGAGGTATGTTTCTTCTCCATGTTGGTTATATCTTGAGGAACTTTTTGCTTGGTTTTTCAGGTCACTAGAATACTGGATCCGGATATGAGAGATGCGTATCACATCTTGAGCGTCAAGCCAGATGCAACTGCAGAAGTGATCAAGAAAAGGTTCGCTTTTCTTTTTTCTTCCTTCACTCAAGTCGTGATTTGTGTATCTTTTCTCAGGTACTGGAAGTTGTCGCTCCTCGTTCACCCGGATAAATGCGCTCATCCTCACGCACAAGATGCATTTACAACCATAAATAAAGCATTCCAAGAGCTTCAAGATCCTGTAAAGGTATGAAAAACATTCGAAAGCCTCCTGTCGTGACTAAAATGCTTAATACCATTCCACAGAGAGCGGCAATTGACCACACTATATCCGAAAGGAAAAGAAAGGAGGAAGAGGAGGTACTATGGCATTTTGAGGCTATGTGACATGCACCGACGGTCTTGATTTTGCAGGTTGAGTTGCGGTCCCTTCGGGAGGCTGCTCAGTGGAGGCGCATGCGAGGTACTATTCCACTTTTGTTTTCTCTTTGTGAGCTTAGAACTTCGAGTCCATTACAGGCGAAATAGCGTTGGCTGGAGATGATGAGCTTCTTGGAACAGCGCCAAAAGCTCCAAGTCGGGACGAATGGATGACTGTTCTTCCACCAGAAAGACAGGTAACTTCATTCAATGGACTGCGGTGCGTCCAGTAGCACATAAAATATGATGTCTATGTCTACAGGCTGGACCTCCGAGCATGCATTCAACATTCTTTAGCAAGACTGAGAAGACTGGGCGAGGAGATACGAGCGTATGGACAGACACTCCTCTTGAGAAGGCACAGAAAGCAAAGATGCAGTGAGTGGACGCTGTTTAACCCGCATGACTTACATCTAATGATCTTATCTTTTTTCTAAACAGGTACCTGGAAGCTTACAATCAGGCTGCTTTACCAGCGGCTGCCACGGACGCCGCTACTGCCGCCGAATCTCAGAGATCATCCGAGATTGCCAAAGTGGTGGACAAGTACAACGAGAAGAAGCGGGCCGAGTCTCTAGTCGAGAAGCATAAACGAGAAGCGTCCGAGAAGAAAAACGCCGGGAACAAGAAGAGCCAACCGGTTGAAGATTGGGTTGGAAAGCATCCGTGGAAGCCATGGGACCGAGAGAACGATCTGGCAGCAGGGAGGAAGTCCGTGAAACTCGACGCCAAGTCGATGGCACAGGGACTAAGCTCAAGGTTTGGTTCTTCCGGTGCTGGCGAACGGAAGTTCCTCTAGTATTGACATTGACTATATATCCATGGTTTGTTTTCATAAAGATATCAAAAGAGACTAAGGTTCTCAAAGCTCGTTCAAAGCCTCGTTCAAAGATCTGTATTGACATGTATTTTGTGATGCTATTAGACATAGAATTTAGAAGAAAAAGAAAAAAGAGGAAATTTAATTAATTGTTAAAGATTGTAAATTTCAAGGCCTTGGAGGTGGGTTTGGAACATTAAATCCAGCGAAGAAAAAGTCGAGGCTACTGGGCCTTGCGATGTTGTATGATCCATGCCAGAAATTCTTCATGACAAACCAGTAACCAGCCTCAGTGAAATGATTGCTGTCGAAATATAAATAATCCTTGGGATTGTCACACACAAATTTGGCATATTTAGTTTTGTGGTCTGGCTTCCAATCATGCTTGTCAGCATCCCCACAAAACTCTGCTGCATTAAACGGTCCACCACCACAGCATGCCTTCTCTACCTCTTTGAAACCTGGATTGATATACACAAATTAATATGAATGGAAAGTTATTTGTTCAGCTTACCATATTTTTGAGGGTTCTTTAACACGTTCATGATAACTGGAGATGGATTCAATGTTGCAATGTTCAGCTCACGAAAGTCATGGTGAAGTTTTACAGCGAGATTCTGGAGTTGTGTGTTGTATGCATCCACAAGAATGTTAATGATTCCTGTGCAACCCTCTGGGGTTAAATTGGTGTTCCTGCTTTGTGCTGATAGTGCCCTCAAGTTAGGAGTACATCCAATTGGTGGTACTAGGAGAATTATGATATGTTTAATACCATAACTGTAAATTTCCTATTAATCAAAATAAATATTTGAAGTTAGAGAAACACTTCGAAGACTTTTGTACCTGGATAGCACTCGAGTATGCCTGTATCATCTGCTGGAAGAGATATGGGCTTGGAAGAGCATTAGCAATATCATTAGCTCCCATGCTAAACAAAGCGACGGAATTCTTCAAGAGCTGGTTTGTAAACTCCACACCCTTCTCCTTTCTATACTCATTTGTGACGTTGCGAAACTGGCGTAGCTGCTGGTTCATCGAAATAACTCCCTGATATAACCAGAAAAGAAAAAAATAAATAAAATTAAAAAACCCAAAATCCAAATCAGCCATAGAAGAGGAAAATTATGAGATTATACGTACGTGATGCACATTCGTCTCATCTAGCAAGCCTGCACCGGCAGATGCGAAGTTCACCCCACTGAGAAAGTTGGCGCCGGGCTCAAGAAAAGGTGGCAACAACGGAAGCCCCAGTGCTTGAGCCAGGAAATCTGCAATCGTTCTACCATCTGTCCAACGCCCTGTTGGCTTGCTGAAGTACGTCTTTCCATACGGCGGAACTGCACTGACAATCTTGGAGCCTGGGATGTACGTGTTCTCTCCTCCATCTAACGCTGAGTCCCCGAAAACAAACAGGCCTTGTACTTGTGGATTCGTGCTAGGAGGAGTCACAGCTTGAGATGTTGAGATGCATGCAAGGAAAACAATGGTTAGAACCCTGAGCGCTTCCATCTCTCAACTTCTATGTTACTTCTATGGTTTGGTTTGTATTTCTCGCGTTTATATAGTATGGAATAGCCAGGTATGGAATGGCCATGTAAGGTCAAATTGGTTTGTTTGGAATAATTACCAGTTAAATGTCTTCTTACGTTCTTAGCGCTATTAGAAGGGTCATGCATGGAGAACACTAAAGCATGGCAAATTATCCAATTGGAATCATTTCCAGGCACCATATGGAGTCAATGGAGTTCTTCTAGATCGTTCAAGACCAAGAGAATTTCTGTTTCTCGAGTGAGATCGGTCGGTTTTGTCACGAAAGTTTTGCTCGCGATCCCTCACAAGTATTTTGCGCGGGAGTTTGTTCCAACCAGAGCCACGCATTCTCTTTCTGTGTGGAGGGCCGTCACATTCGTTTCGTAAGGCTTTGGTTGGACGGTCCCGATCTATTGCCCCTACCGTGGCAGGATCCCTGCCGGACGTTACAGATCAATGTCCATCGCTGGCAAAAGTAACATCATGCAAGGGGGCCAGGTAAAGTAAAAGTAAACTTAGTACACTCGCATCATTCATTTCTCCCGCCGTTCAAAGTAACGGGTAAATGAGAAATTACTAGATTTAGAAAAAGGGACCGTGGTACTGTATGGGCATTCCACCGCGCGGTGGTATATTTACGAAGCATATGCCCCGCATCGCATGGTCACACAAAGAGAGCTTTATGGAGGGGAATGCGCAGCGATGGCGATGGCGCCACCGGAAGCACGATCTTCTCGGCGGATTCCAGCTTTAAATCCGGCATTCAATCGGTTCGTGGTTGGAGCTTTCTTGTTCTTGCAGCTGTCGCCACGGTGGGTGGAAATCCCTGGCTGCATTGCCGCAGATGCCTAGGATAGCTCGTAATCTCGGCCAGCGGAGCTAAGATTTCGCCAGATTTGGATGGCGCAGTCGGTGTCGCTGGAATCTCTGGGCGCCTGGGCGAACGAGCTCCAGCGCTCGAGGAGTACGCGGAGTGGGAGCGTGAGGAACTGGAGATTGAGCTCGGATAGTGTGTTTGGGCAATCCGTGTACCAGCAGCATGCCGAGGACGACGAGGAGGCGCTCAAATGGGCGGCAATCGAGAGGCTTCCTACCTATGATCGCCTGGGCACTACCATTCTCACCAATTATGTCGAAGGCAACAGGTTAAATCGCCAAGTGGTGAGCATCGAGAACATTGGTCCAGTGGAGCGCCAGGAATTCATAAACAAGCTCATCCAAGTCACCGAGGAGGATAACGAGAAATTCTTGCGCAAGCTTCGAAAGCGCATTGACAGGTATGTGTGTTCTTTGGAGTTTATTTCTTTGACTGATCCTTCTTTTGTTTTTTTTTGTTTGCTTCTATAGAGTTTCTATACAATTGCCTACTATCGAGGTGCGTTTTCAAGATGTCACTGTACAAGCGGACTGCTATCTCGGAACGAGAGCTTTGCCAACTCTGTGGAACGCTACCCGAAATACCATCGAGGTTCTTCTTTTTGTTTTTTTTTTCTTTTTGTGTACTTCCTTGGACGTGACATTGTTTTCCTTTCTCTTTCGGTGATACAGGGGATATTAGACGTATCTAAATTGTTGCCAATGAAGAAGACGTCCATGACTATGCTTCGCAACGTCAGTGGTATTATCAAACCTGGGAGGTATGTTTAGAACTGGTGGTCGTTTTGTTTCTTATTGTCTTGTCATACAGGATGACTCTGCTGCTCGGTCCACCTGGTTCTGGAAAGACCAGTTTGCTACTTGCTCTTGCGGGAAAGCTCGATCCCGCCCTGAAGGTAAGCTGAAGTCATAAGATCACCATTTAAATGACATCGCATGTAATCCAGGTCGAGGGCCAGATTTCATACAACGGTCATTCTCTTGAAGAGTTTGTGCCTCAGAAGACCTCAGCCTATATCAGTCAGCACGACTTTCATCTAGGAGAACTGACCGTCAGAGAAACTCTAGAATTCTCATCGCAATGTCAAGGTGTAGGAGCAAGATATGGTGAGTAATGAGCTACCCTGGTCCGTCAGTCTTCTTCAGTCAGGCATGTTAACCTTATTCACCTCTAGGGGATTTCTACAGAAATGTTGGCAGAGCTGGCTAGGAGAGAAAAACAAGCCGGCATTTTTCCTGAGGCCGACATCGACTTCTTTATGAAAGTAAGTCTTCACAGTTTTTAAGCTGAGTTTTACCAACTCGTTGTCTTCCAATAGGCAACTGCAGTGGAAGGCCTACATAGTAGCCTTGTGACTGAGTATTCGATGAAAGTGAGTGATCTATTTGTTTATTTCGTCGTGTTTTCCGTTTAAATATTCCATGCTACAGATTCTTGGATTGGATCTTTGCGCAGACACGTTAGTTGGAGATGACATGCTCAGAGGCATATCTGGCGGCCAAAAGAAACGAGTTACAACCGGTAAGAAAACTTGTAAGCTGTGGTCTTCACTTCCTGTTTCAAACTGCTTCAGGGGAGATGATTGTTGGACCCACTCGGACTCTCTTTATGGATGAGATTTCCACTGGGCTGGATAGCTCAACGACATTCCAAATTGTGAAATGTCTCCAGCAGTTTGTCCATCTTCTGGAGAGCACCGTGCTAATGTCTCTACTTCAGCCTGCACCTGAGACATTTGAGCTTTTCGACGACATTATTTTGTTGTCAGAGGGTCAAATTGTTTATCAAGGGCCTCGGGAACTTGTTCTTGAGTTTTTTGAGGCCTGTGGATTCAAGTGTCCTGAAAGAAAGGGTGTAGCCGATTTTCTGCAAGAGGTATCTCTGTCCCCTTTTGTTTTGTCAATGGTTGTGTCGCTGATGACATCGTTCACTTCCAGCTTACTTCTCAGAAAGATCAAGCTCAATATTGGTGGGACGAAACTAAACCATACGAATATGTTTCGGTGAATGACTTCGTGCAGCTCTTTAAGCAATCTCGTGCTGGTGAACTGCTGGCCGAAGAATTTTCATGCCCGTTTGACAAAGAAAGAAGTCATAAAGCAGCACTAGAGTTTAGCAAGTATGCTATTGGCGGATGGGATCTCTTCAAAGTTTGCTTCGCGAGGGAATGGTTGCTGGTCAAACGAAATTCTTTCATCTTCATATTCAAGGGAGTTCAGGTATGCTTATATATTACGGAATCGTTATGTGACGTGTTTTCGCAGATATGTATCGTGGCTTTCATTGGTATGACGGTTTTCCTTCGCACTGAAATGCACCGCGATAACGAGCAAGATGGTTTCTATTTTCTGGGAGCTCTGTTTTTTACTCTGATCATGATCATGTTCAATGGGTTTGGCGAATTACCGATGACTTTGACGCGGCTGCCTATATTCTACAAGCAACGGGATCTGCTATTCTATCCCTCTTGGGCTTTTGCTCTACCAATGATCGTGTCCAGGATACCAATGTCTATTGTCGAAGTGACAATTTTTATTGCCATGACGTACTATGTTATCGGCTTTGCACCTGCTGCTGGAAGGTACGAGAGTATTCCGGCTTAAACCTCTTAGTTATTTGCTCTGTGTAGGTTTTTCCGGCAGTATTTGCTTCTCTTCGTTTTGCACCAAATGTCTTCCGCTATGTTTCGTTTTATTGCCGGAGTATGTCGAACTATGGTGGTGGCAAATACGGGAGGTTCCGTTGCACTCCTTATCGTTTTCATGCTGGGAGGCTTTATCATTCCTAGAGGTTTGGCACTAAACCATGATGTTATTTGTTCGTCAAACCAATCTTTTCTGCAGCTGAAATTCCAAAGTGGTGGATATGGGGATATTGGATTTCGCCCCTGACTTACGCTGAAAATGCTATAAGCGTCAACGAGATGCTTGCACCTGAATGGGACAAGGTTGATTCTCTTGTTTCATTTTGCATCGTTCTAAGATGTTTATTTTGCAGCAAGTTCCCGGCCGCAATATGACCCTCGGAAAGGCTATTTTGCAAGATCGCGGCCTCTTTACAGAGGCGAACTGGTATTGGATCGGGGTTGGTGGCCTTATAGGCTTCGTATTTTTGTTCAATGTTCTTTTTACACTGGCGCTCGCTCATTTAAATCGTAAGCTTCCATTATTCGTTCCCACGTATAGCAGCTGTACCCTTTGTCTTTGCAGCTTTAAGTGCGAAGAGAGCTCTATCTGAGCAACCTGTTTCTGATCAGAAGAGAATATTGTCATCTAGACGTGAATCCATGCCATCCGAGCATAAACACAGCAACAGAACTGGTTTGGCGCTTATACCTGACGTGCTTCACGTTAATGTTTGCATTGCTATTCTCAGGTGAAGTGGAGATGCAGGCTTCAGCATCAACTTCGTCCCGTCAGCTGTCCGATAGACGAGGAATGATACTGCCATTTCAGCCTCTGGCAATAGCATTCAAGGATATTAAGTACTACGTGGACATGCCCGCCGTAATATCTATGTCGCTACTCAACTGTAGAATGTCGCTAACAGCTCTATGTGCAGGAGATGAAAAGTCAAGGGTTGACAGAGAGCCGGCTGGAGCTTCTGCATGATATTACTGGAGCATTTAGACCCGGAGTTTTAACAGCATTGATGGGTGTGAGTGGAGCTGGAAAGACTACATTGATGGACGTGCTTGCTGGAAGGAAAACCAGTGGCTACATCGAAGGGGATATTTGGATATCTGGCTTTCCAAAGAAACAAGAAACGTTTGCAAGAATCTCAGGATACTGCGAGCAGTCGGACATCCATTCCCCTCAAGTTACTATTTACGAATCGCTGTTGTTTTCGGCCAGACTTCGGCTCCCAAATGAAGTCGATCGCAACACTCAGGAGGTACGTAGTTTCGAAATGTAACTCAGATCAGACATCTGCGTTTTTTGTGGCAGCTCTTTGTTCACGAGGTCATGGAACTCGTTGAACTGGACATTGTCAAGGACGCACTTGTTGGTATTCCAGGAGTCAGTGGTCTCTCTACAGAGCAGAGAAAGCGACTGACGATCGCTGTCGAGCTTGTTGCCAATCCTTCTATCATCTTTATGGACGAACCGACCTCTGGCCTGGACGCCAGAGCTGCTGCAATCGTCATGCGAACCGTTCGGAATACTGTTGATACTGGACGGACTGTTGTGTGTACAATACATCAGCCTAGCATCGATATTTTTGAAGCGTTTGATGAGGTACTTGCTGACCTTTAAGCTGATTGCGAAAGAATGAATTATTTGTCTCTTTTGCAGTTGCTTCTCCTTAAGCGCGGTGGCCAGGTGACATACGCAGGACCTTTAGGAAAACGTTCTCACAAGCTTATCGAGTACTTCGAGGTTGTAAGTCTATACAGGGAATTAACTGAACTGACGACGGCGAACCCTTGCACAGGCCGTTCCTGGAGTCACTAGATACCGAGATGGAACTAATCCTGCTGCCTGGATGCTCGAAGTAACGTCACCTTCAACAGAGCATAGCCTCAACACCGACTTTGCTCAGCTCTATCTCAACTCTCCGCTGTTTCAGTAAGTCGTTATGTTTTTCTCAATGTAGCTTAAAATATTTTGATATAAACTTTGCAGGCGTAACATAGCACTGGTGAAGGAGCTCTCCTCCCCTGCTCCAGGAGCCAGTGATTTATACTTTCCAACAAAATACTCCCAACCATTCCTTACGCAATTCCGCTCATGCCTGTGGAAGCAGAACTTGACATACTGGAGAAGCCCCGACTATAACTGCGTCAGGCTATGTTTTACTCTCTTCTCCGCCCTTCTCTTCGGAACCATTTTCTGGAAGTTTGGACTTAAGAGGTAAAAGTCTGTCAAACCTTCTCTCTGCCGAAACTTTAAGCGTGTGTTTTTTTCTGTGCTCGACAGGGAGAATCAGTCCGACTTGCTTAACGTGATGGGTGCGATGTACGGGGCTGTCATATTTCTTGGTGTAAATAACAGTGCCACAGTTCAGCCCGTCGTCGCCACGGAAAGGACCGTCTTTTACAGGGAGCGAGCGGCAGGAATGTATTCGGCTCTTCCCTACGCTTTAGCACAGGTATTCTCGATCTATATCTACGCAAACAGCTATAGCTAATGCAAGATTGCCGCAAACTTTGCAGGTCATCGTCGAGATACCATACGTTCTCTTCCAGACGCTCATGTACGGTGGCATCACTTACGCCATGATCCAGTTCGAGTGGAAAGCCTCGAAGTTCTTCTGGTACCTCTACGTCATGTTCTTCACCTTCCTCTACTTCACATACTACGGGATGATGGCCGTGGCGATCACACCAAACTACCAGATCGCGGGCATCCTCGCGTCGGCATTCTACTCGCTCTTCAACCTCTTCTCGGGCTTTCTCATACCAAAACCCGTGAGTATATGGTCTTTGTCTTTTATAGAAGTGATAGACTATTGGACTAACACCGGGGAATTCATCCCGTTGCAGAAAATTCCAAAGTGGTGGCAGTGGTATGTGTGGATTTGCCCCGTTGCTTACACCGTCTATGGCCTCATTACGTCCCAGTATGGGGACGTGAATTCGGAGCTCCAAATCCCCGGCCAGCCCAGCAAGCCCATCAAGCTCTTCCTTAAAGACTACTTCGACTACGATCAACAGTTCCTTGGCGTGGTGGCGGCCGTGTTGTTTGGATTCGCAGCCTTCTTCGCATTTATGTTCGCGTTTTGCATCCGCGTCCTCAACTTCCAGCGCCGCTAAAACATTGGAAGAACAACGAATAGATGAAGAACAGGATATTCCAACGAATGTTCTTATCCATCCAGAAGATTCAGTCCAATCCAATCCGGCCGTCCACGTGCTGGCCATTCGATCCGGAGCCGTTGCTTTGTTTTTAACCCACATGTTGTTATTCCGTTTGAGCGCCGCCTTTAATTCCCACGTCACGCTGCTGACGTGGCTGCTACCCGTTATTAACCCAACGAGACGCTCTAGGGTCTTAACAGAGGTTTAAGCCAGCAAAGAAAGAGCCTCGTCGGCCAGGAAGGAGAAACCAAAGCAAGGTGTGTGTTCTTTCTTTCATAGAGGATTGGTATCAATCCAGCGCTCGCATTTTCTTTCGATTCTTTCCATTCTTTCTTTGTAGTAAATCTTTTCCAGTGATCGATCTTGTGTGGATCTTATGGAGCAGGCAAGCTAGGATCAGACAATCTTGAGAAAGAACTTGTGATCGCTATGAGTGTGGAGCAGCAGCACCGGCAGGCCAGCCTCGCCCTGGTCTGCTCTCTCGCAGCGATGGCGATCATCATCCTTCCATGGGCGAGCCTTTGCGGAGCTCAAAACGTGACGGTGGTGCTGGAGAACTCGGCGCCCGTGAACACGAACTTCTCCACATTCAGCCGCCTCCTCTCCATGACCAACGTCACCGCAGAGATCAACAGCCGCTCCTCGCTCACCATCCTCGTCCCGGACAACTCCATCCTCGACAGCTACGTAGGGGCCAACCTCGAGGGGATGCACGTCTGGGCCGTGGCCGACTTCTGCCGCTACCACGTCCTGCTCCAGTACCTCGACACCCAAGAGATCATGCAGATGACCAACCAGTCCGGGCTGCTCATCACCACGCTCTACCAGACCACCGGACGCGCCGAAGGGATCGATGGCTTCGTCAACATGACCTTCGGGAACGACATCCAGTTCGGGCTTCCGCCACCCCACGCCTCAGGTCCCGTCGCCACCGTTCTCAATAACTTCGTGCGCTATCCTTACAACATGAGCTTCATGATGATCAGCAAGCCTCTCATGCCCGTCCGGCTGGCGCAGATGAACAGGCCCGACCACTTCCCCAGCATCTCCAACGCGCTCTTCAAAGGTAACATCTACAAGACGTTCCAGAAGTTGATGCAGGACACCGGGACACTGGCGGCGGCCGAGGACATCGAGCACCAGCCCTTCACCAGCGGGGTGACGGTGTTTGCTCCCACCGACAGCGCGTTCCAGAACCTCCCCAGTGGATCTCTGGCAGCGCTCACGCAGTCGCAGCGCCAGTTGCTCGTCCGCTACCATCTCCTGCCGTCATTCTTCACGTTTGGATCGCTCCGGACGCTGAAGGCTCCGCTCACGACGCTGGCCACGTCTAACAGGAACTTTGAGGTGAATGCCAGCGGCGAGGGGCCTTCCGGGGGACTGGCGATTGCGACCGGGGTGTCCACCGCAAACGTGATTGCCACTCTCTTGGAGGACGATCCAGTCGGGATGTATGCTCTGGACGCGGTGCTTCTTCCACCCGAGATCTTCCCACTCCACTCCACGCCGCCCGCCAGCATTGCACCGTCGCCTGCTCCTCCGGCCACCGTTCCGCCACCAAAGGCTGTTCAAGCGCCAGCTCCGGCTCCAAAGCCGGCTCCGCCACCTTCGCCTTCGTCTTCTCCTTCTCCACCGCCACCCGCGGCTTCTCCTTCTCCACCACCCTCGGCTACGTCTCCTCCTCCCGTGCAGAGCTCATCAAATTCCTCCTCGTCGAGCTCCTCGAGCTCGTCTCCGGCAGCCGAAAATGGGACAAGTGCCGAGGCCCCAGTCGCCGCAGAAGGTCCGCTGGCGGAAAGGTCCGACGCCCGGAAGTTTGGTGAGAGTTTCTTTGGTGGATTTTTGCCAGCTGCACTTGCTACTACTACGTTGCTCTTTTGATATGAAAGGTTTGTACTACAACTAGTTTTCTTGGAAGAGAGACATTGTAATAACTTTAGTGCATTAGCGTTGAGTTTACATCATGTAATTTTTTAATGACAATGAAAATGTTTTAAGTCCGTCATGGAGGTTTAGGGTTTACGACGCGATACTGGGACCTGGAACACTCCTTGACGCCAGCGCATCTGTCTACAAATGCAAGGGTGGTGCTGGATCACTCCAAGACTGTAGAGACTAGTTCAGAGATGCCAGCCGTCCGCGGCCGAGAAGAGGCGGGAGGTGCGAGAAGCGCGGCAACAGGAAGGATCGCGAGTGGAAGGCTGGAAGGGCAGCTAAAGGTGACAAGAGAAGATGAAGCAGGAAGAGGAGAAGACGAAGCAAATGGAGATCTACGCAGAGCTCGTCCGTGGTGGGACGAAGCTTCCGCGGCAATGCCATGTTATGACTTTAATCGAATCTAAAACTTATTCGAACACGCAACCTTCTGATCTGGAGTCAGACTTGCGCCACGGATCCTTTCACGGCGGGTTCATCCACTATGAGCTACTCGGACGATATATTCAATAACTTCATCATTTATAAAATCATAGACATCAAATTATTTTCGACTTTAGAATTGTAGAGCTGCAAAATGCACAGATTAATCTTAGATCAGCCCGAAAAGATGCTTGTTTCATACCTCCACAAGTTCTTGGCAAGGGCCTATTGCAAGCCGATGCCATGGCCTGGATACGTTGCTTGTTGACCGCAGCGGCGATCTGGGGCGTGACTTTGGGACACAAACACCCGTTCGACACCGCTCTAGCGGCTCTGCAGCAGCCAGCGCTGGGAGGGCTTCCATTCCCGTAAGAACCCGAGCATTGCGATATCACCGTCGTCACCAAACCATTGCAATCTTGTCCGCGAACAGCAATCGCCCAAAGCATCACTAGCAAGACGAAGGAGGTGCGTGGAAAAGCCATCTTAATTTCTCACAATTCCAGAATGCCCTCTTTCTAAGCCTTGCTTCCACTGGATCTCACGAAGAAGAGAGCTCACATTTAAAGCATCCATCACACGGACTCTTGCCGTCTCGATCACGTCTTTGGTCCTGGTCTTGGTCCTTGGTCTTAAAACTCGTTCGATCAAATTCATGGAAACATCCCAAAGTACTTTGAGCGGGAATTTTCAAACCAACGTTTTCAAATTCAAATATTTGCGCGGGAAGGAATATTACAAAGCACACAAAGTAGTATAATCCTTTGATCATTCATGGCTGATCCACCTCGTGTCCATGGTGCCACCCTCCACCGCGTCCGTATCCTCCACGCCCATATCCGTACCCAGGTCCGTAGCCACCATAGCCGGGTCCATAGTATCCGCCATAGCCCGGTCCGTACCCACCACCGTATCCCGGCCCATAGCCACCATAGCCCGGTCCATAGCCACCACCACCATAGCCCGGCCCATAGCCACCACCACGCCCGTACCCGCCATATCCCGGCCCATACCCGCCATAGCCTCCTCGTCCATAACCATCGTCGTCATCGTGGTGGAGTGACTTTGTAGCGGCGTCGTTGTTCTTGAGCTCCTCGTCCTTCTGGGGGTTCTCGGCGAGATCTCTGGCGCTGGACACGAGCAAGAAGGCGAGATTGAGAAGTAGCAGCACGGCCAGGAGCTGCTGCAAGGCCTTGGAAAGAGCCATTTTGTAGTTTCCTCCTTGGAGACGGAGACTTCCTCTCCTGACAAACAAACGCTGTGATGCAATGCGCAAGAAAGATCTAGGGAAAAGGGGGCCTGGAAGGAATGCTTGGATTTGGAGGATCGAGCAATGTTTTATAGAGCCCAGGGAAATGATCGTCGCGTTGACGCGCGTTGACATGGGGGTCAACCGCGTTTTATCCACCGATTGGTTTGGTTGGGTGTCGGTGAGTGAATGCCGCGACCACGAGACCCTTGCGGCCTGTGTAGAGACAGAGATTTCTCTCTTCGTGGAAGCAAGTCAGCCGCAATTCTACCATGGCAGCTTTTAAATCTATCCAATTTATAGAGGGTTGACTTTCTCGCGCTCTCATTGACTCTTTGACTGGGTCAAAGGATTTTGTTTGTGCTTGTCAGACTTATCTTGTGGATATGTGGTGGCTGGATCGAACTCGTTCTTGGCGTTAAAGTATTGGGATCCAAGTGCCGCTGCTCCAAATCCCCAGCCAAGCCCAATCCCCACCCCACATCCACCACCTTCAAAGCAAAGTATTAGAAAACGTGAGAGATCTCACTCACCTATGCCGAGTCCCATTGTTGGTATCGACACTCCTGCAATTGAGCTTGAAAATCTAAGAAAACAGAGAAGATGTAGAGGAATACGTATACCTCCGAATCCCCATCCAATCCCAAAACCACACCCAATTCCAATACCTGCTTGAAGTTCCATTGCGGAGTTAGCCATTGCGGAATGATGGAAATTGAGATTCATGGACTTACCAAAACCAACACCCTGTCCTGCAAATGCGCTCATCACCATCTCTGCCAGATCAAAGAAATCCTTCGTACACAAAAGTTCGTACACAAAAGTTGGGTGTATAGTTCTTTATCTCTAGTCTTGAAGTAGTGACAGGAGCAAACGATAATTTTGAGTGTCAGTTACAAGAAAGGAAGCACAAACCGTTAAGAATCGCTTCGTAAAGTCTAGTTTAGTGCCCTTGTTTTCTGCAAAAGAATCATCTCATTGCCTGGAAGAGCAAAGTCTCTCTACCTGTCGAAGCTTGACTTCCCTGTTGTGGAGAACTCCATCTCTTCTGAGTGCCATGGGATTCACTCCCGCTTTGTGGGCCGCAACAACACCTAAAGCCTCCCAATAGTTGGCTGCTCTCACCTGAACAAAAGTATGACTTCAAGAGGACGATTTGCAAAGAAAGAAAAGCTCTTACTGCTTCGATTTGTAGCTTCTCCGGAGTGTCATTCAAGACGGTCACGTTCTCCTCCACAGCAATAATCAGAGGCTGTGGCACGAGAAACGAGAATCAGGATTGGCGCGCACTAGTAAGGAACTGTTTATAAATGACGTACCTTTTGTCGAGCCTTTTTACTGAATGCACGAACTCCGTCGCCTCCACAGGCGTTCACCGGCACTAGCACTGCATCGACGTCCTCGGCCCATATCCGGTGAGGTCTGTGATCGCTGTCCCTGCTAACATATTGAGGAGCCTTGCTTAATCCCGCGAGAACGCTAGGAAGAAAGGTGTATCCAATCTGGAAGCAACATACATTGAGCTTTAAGAGAAGAGAAGAACAGCGTCCTTACCTCTTCCGCGGCAGATCTAGGAGAAACAGACGAATCGAATGGCAAAGGAGCCAATGCTGGTGCGTGCGCGCAAGGGATGTGAAACTCACTCACCACCATTTTACTAATCACAGCCTCGACTCCAGCCAGAGCATCGACACCCTGTTTCGAGGATAGTTTAGTTTCGTCACGAGGTCTTTGAAACTGAAGAATGGTATACCTGACCTTGCCTATAGTCTTTCAACACCTCCACATCGTCGTCTGGAAAGCGTGCTACCACGGCTACAGCATCGATCGCAGCATCTCTGACAAGTTTCTCCACAGCTCGTAGCAAAGAATCAGAGCGGGCAATGCGACCAGTAGAAGCACCGGTTTTGTCATCGATCCACTTCTCAACCTGGCATATATATTTTCGAGTCGTCTTTGGCCTCGAAAGCAAGAAAGGAAGAAAAATGCTAAGAGCTATAAGCAGTACCTGGAGTGATGCGTCAGTGACGACGTGCTCGAAAATCGAAGTTCCAAGAGTTGCAGCAGCAGCATCAGCCACTTGTAGATGTCTCAGTCGCAAATCCTGCTCAATCCCGGCGTCGAGGACGAGACCGACTTTGTTCCGGTGGACGGGGCTGAGGCCCCAGGCACCAGCGGCAAACCGATCGAGAGCGTAGCCTTCGACGTACAAGGCGTTGCTCATCGGCCAGTAAAGCATAGCTCCATTCAGCACCTAAGCCAAAAAAGCTAAGCTCTCTAGCTTAGAAATTTTCTAGACACTTACATTTGGATGTGTGATGAGACAATCGACGATGGAAGCCAGAGCTCTGGCGACGGGGAGAGCATCGCCTGCGTATCCGCCAATGCAGGCCCCAGTTCCAGTCGGGACGATCAGCACAGCCGTGTATGGCCGCGACGCAAAAGCCTGGCAATCAAAATGTTAATGGATGAAATCGATCGATGACATACCGGAGCAAAGAATGCCGTTGCTGCAGCCGTGCGCTTCTGCCTCCGCGATGCTAGCCCCGGCGCCCAGAATCCTCGAGGAGCCGGGAGCAATCCACACAGCAGCATTGGATTGGATAAGCCCTAAAATTTCACATAGGGGCTAGTTTATATCTTTCGCGCCATTTCGCCAGTTCTAGAGAGCAAGTTCTGGGGGACTTTTACATGGGCTTCAAGGAAGAAAATGTGACACAGTGTTTACAACAGCTCCAATTTCAGACTGGGATGTTGGAGAGCTGGTCACGAATGTTGATGCAAAACATGGGTGGGGGCAACACCACCTTGAATTTGCTATTAGAATTAGAATGATCCAAAATATGTAGGTCTGTTCAGTAGCATGGTTTGTTGTCACCCATGTCTATTTCAAAAGGTTCTGGTTTATGCAGCTTAAGTTGTTTGTGATCATTGCAAATGGAAATTGTTTCTGCAGCCTTATTATTTAATATATATATATATATATAAATATATAAAATAAACTCTATAATAGCTCATGAGTAATTGCTTATATAACTGTATGACATTTAGTTCATACCCTAATGACGTTAAGAAAAAATAAAAGTATAATTTTTATATTAGAGCCAATCTAAAAAAGAAAAAGAAAAAGCTAAACCATCTGAATTTGAAACTTTTGTACATTTTACTTCACTGACATTATCAATGTTGGCATTTTGCTCTTGATTACCACTTTGGTTTTGCTCAGCAAAATATCATTCTCAATATCATTTTCAATTTAATTTTCAATTTGTAAATAAAACCTATTTGAGAAGAAAAATATTTTAAAAAAGATTTGGTTTTCCCATACTAAATACTTCTTTTTGCAATGCAATAATAAAATTTTTCTATGACACAATCAATTAAACATAATTTATATTTCTATATTTGTTTATGGTAAGTCTTTTGAGTTAAACAATCTTAACCATATTAAAAGAAGTAGGTTGAAGCTTAGAGTTAATCTTTATTTTCTTGGATTTCATTATTGACATCGTAGTTGAGAAAAGTAATTCTTGCAAAACCCTACTCAAATGAACTTGCAGAGTTTTCAACTTTTAGGTTATAATACCCCAAAATTTTGAATTCAAGCAGGAATATAAATATGCATATGTTATGTTTTATGAGTGGAGTTATTATGAAAAATAAATATTAAATATTTGATTCTTAAATTACATTTACAATCATTTTAGCCTCTTATTTATGTTCTAATATAAAATTATTATCCTTTATATATTCATTTATTTTTGTTCTACATAAAAATATAAAATTTAAAAGCTTATTACTTACTGGCAAAGCACTACAACCATGTCACCACCACTCTTGCAGTTTGTCTCCATGGTTTTCATAAGAGACGCTGGCTCCAAATGGCCAGATTGGCAATCACGCACAAATCTTCAGCTAGAAGCACCAAGTTCTCGCTGGTCTTCCTACATCACAACCTCTAGTGCTGTGCTGCTCCTCCCTCACCATGGACCAATCTTGGTCTGCTTTTCCTACAGCCCCTGCAGGTCATACTACCTGGTTGGCAATCCGCTACACCCAAGTTCCAGTATGACAAAGTAATCTCAGTTACTGGTCTCTGGCCGCTTCAAGCATGGTTCTACGATTCCGCAACCGACTTGTGGACCGCTTCCACCCTTTCGTTCAGTGCGAGATTGTGCGTGGGAGACAGTGTGTGGTATTTGCTCGACTGGATGTCGATGCGGGTGCGTGGGAGATGACTCTCGCTTCACGGCACCTTTTCTTCTTCGAGGAGATACAATCTTCAAAAATGCTCTTATCATAATCAATTATCCATTGCAAATATTTAGGGCTTGGGCATGGAGGAAGCCCGGCAGGCGCTGGGTGATGGTCGATTCCCCGACGCTGTCAAGCTCTGCAAGCAGCTACTCAAGCACGATCGCCGCAACTACGATGGATTCGTGGTCCTGGGCCTGGCGCTCGTCCGCAGCTCGCAGCATCTGGATCAGGCCGAAATGTCGCTCAAGAAGGCCATCTCTCTCGATCCATCCGCATTGCCGGCGTACCAGGTAAGCATTGCTTGCTAGATTCGTCCAGAGTTCCACTAGGGATTAAGCAGGCTATGGTCGAGCTGCGGGAATCGATGGGAAGCTCACCAGACTTGCTTGCCGAATCGATCCAAGCAGCTCTGGATGTGGCCATGGCGCGGAACGAGAGTGCGCTTGCGGCGGATTTGATGCGGAAGCTTGCACGGACATTCTCAGCTGGACACAAGCACGATCAAGCGAAAGCTGCTTGGGGCCAAGTTCTCGACATGGAAGTAAGTCGAGAGCAACGGGTTGAGGCCCTCTCTGGAATTGTGGACGCGCACATAGCAGCCGGCAAAGGAGCGAAAGAATGCGAAGCAACTGGAGAGGAAGAAACACAAGCCATGGTGTCACACCTTGAAGAGCTTGTCTCCATGCTACCTTACGTTGAGATCTACCGGGAACTTTTGTTGGCACTTCTTGCTTGCAAAGCTCGTCGAGGTACCGCACAGTGGAAATCTTC